TTCAAAATTTCAGTCTTGCTGGACACTGGTGGCACACGCCTGTCATCCTAGCTACTCAGGAGGCTCAGATCTAAGGATCATGGTGCAAGCCTGCCTGGGTAGAAAAGTCCCTGATAATCTCCAATTAACCATTCAAAAATTGGAAGTGGAGCGTGTGGCTCAAAGTGGTAGAGCGCTAGCCTTGAGCAAAAAAGCTCAGAGACAGCACCCAGGCCTTGAGTTCAAGCCCCCCAACTGCCAAAAAAAAAAATCAATCTTCTCATCGGGAAAATAGACATTATCTTATTTTACAAGATAATGCCTGTGCAGTATCTGACAAACAGTAAACATTAACTACTGTTGTATTGTTGGTTCTGGTTGGTACTTTGGACCAACCATGTAACTTCTCTAAACTTTGGTTTTGTCACATTCCACAATTGTTCTGCAGTGAGAGGCTGTGGTGGGGGTCCGGTGAGATGAACAGAGGGGTAGAAAACGGGCCTTTCTACAGGGCTAAAGCTTTCTCCAGGCACGCCCCTTCTCCACCCTTACAGATCTCTGACTACACTGGAAGGTTTATCCCTTAATGGGCTGATGGGAGACAATGAGAAGAAAGTGTTGGAGATTGTGGCCCTAGCTCCTAGCCATTGTTTCAAAACAAAGAACATTCCTTTCAGCTTCAGAAGGTCTTCATCCCATTAACACTTGTTACCCCCAGTCAGTCTTCCTAAAGAGCTTAGAGTAGACTAATATTGAATTAAATAAAACTGGGGGGGGGGCAAGGAATCCACTCAGAGTCATTTAGCATCACCTCACATCACTTTGATAAAGCTAGCATTATTGGGTGTTTCTTTCAAATTTTGTTTCTAAAGTTTGGCTGAAAGAGCCAAAACCAAAAGAAGCAAATGCTGCAGTGTTGGTAATGCTCATGCCCTTTTAGGTTCACTTTTTTTATTGTAATGCTGGGGAACAAATCCTGGACCCCACACATGCTGGGTAAGTGTGCTAACATTGAGCCACACTCTAGATTTAGCTTTATTTTAATCAAATGAGTCCATGTCCCATGTCCTGGTTCTGTTGATTGTGTTTCTACTTTCTGACTTTGAAAGGAGCCTGAAATTATCTATAACCTAAAATGAGGTTTTGTTGCTGTTTGTTTGCTTTTTGTTGATAGGGTGGCTTGAACTCAGGGCCTGGGTGCTATCTCTGAGCTCTTTTGCACAAGGCAAGCGATCTACCACTTTGAGTCATAGCTCCACTTAAGGTTTTTGAATGCTTAGTTGGAGATAAGAGTCTCACAGGGACTTTTCTGCCCAGGTTGGTTTTGAACCACAGTCTTCAGATCTTAGGCATGAGCCACCAGTGTCTGGCAAGGTTTTTTTTTGTTTTTTGTTTTTGCCAGTCCTGGGGCTTAAACTAAAGGCCTGGGCACTGTCCCTGAGCTTCTTTTGCTCAAGGCTAGCACTCTACCTCTTGAGCCACAGCACTACTTCCGACCTTTTCTGTTTATGTGGTACTGAGGAATTGAACCCAGGGCTTCATGCATGCTAGGGAAGCACTCTACCATTGAACCACATTCCTAGTCCCTGTTTTGTTTTGTTTTGTTTTTTTGGTCGGCCGTGGGGCTTGAACTCTGGGCCTGGGCGCTGTCCCTCAGCTCTTCAGCTCAAGGCGAGCGCTCTACCACTTGAGCTACAGCGCCACTTCTGGTTTTCTAGTGGTTTATTGGAGATAGGAGTCTCACATTCTCTCCTGCCCGGGCTGGCTTTGAACCGCGATCCTCAGATCTCAGCCTCCTGAGTAGCTAGGATTACAGGTGTGAACCTCCAGCGCCCGGCCTGTTTTGTTTTTTTAAAGAGAGATTTCGTCTTGTATTTGCAGATAGGCTTGAGGGAGTTCTCTTCCAGCATTTTCTAACCTAAAGGAGTCTTTATGGCTGGGGAAAAAATGTTTCAGGGTCCCTAATATGTGGGCCCCCCAAAAGATGATTGACTGAGCTAATCATAGGTTATTGTAAACACACCAGAGAAAAGTTGCCTCGTGTAGGTTAAAAGAAATCTTTTTTCCCCTGTCTTCTTTCTCAATATTTGTTCCAGAGCCTGTGGTAAAGACTATTGGAGAACTCTGCTTATCTTCCAAGCTAGGAGTAGTCTTAAGGATCAGCCTGGGATTGTGAGAACTTCGTTCACTTTAAAGTTTGAATGACTGCTTTTATAATGTTGGTCTCCTTCCCTGTTTCTAAATGGCAGCATAAATAACAATTCCTTCCTCTTTATAGATTCCATCCGGGAATAAAACCGTCCCAGAAATCCCTTGGGACAGCCCTTCCTTCTTGTGTTGGAGTAAATGACAGAGACATTATGACCCCCTCCCTTCTATATACCAAAACTGTAAGCTCTTCCCCTCCTCCCCTCTCTAATCTTGATTATTATCTACAAATTAGATTGCACAGTGGCACAGACCCCTGGGGGCTCTCTAGATGGGCTGTGAAAGCCAATTTGTGCCTTGTGCTCAAGACCAGCCTGACTTTCTGGAAGGAAATTGACATGGGTCCTGTTTGGGGACTGTGCCCTGGCTGGGCAAAGCTAAGAGGTGGGCTAACAGGGGGTTGGAATGCTTCCATTCCGTTCCCACAGCCAAGTCCCTGCATCTTTAGTTGTTTCCTGATCTTGTAGAAAGGGGAGTTGTTGTCCTAGCAAGGAAAACTCTCTCCTGCTCCTTGGGCTTGCCTGGACTTAGTGATTCAACCTAACACCTTTCTAGTTCCCAAGTGAGTCACTCCAGGGCTGCACTCCAGCCTGCGACCACAAAGGGGCAAAGAGGGAACCAGGGAACCGTTTAAGAGCGCCTCCGCTTTTGTAACCCTTTGAACTTCTTAATGTCTGGGGGATTGCATTTTCCTTTGAATTTAGGATATAGGGCTTGGAGCAGGAGGACAGAACAAGATGTTAAGGGCCTGAATGGATGATTCTAGGAGGTCAAAGATAGTAATTACTTTCTGGTTTCTAAGTGATGGTGGATTAAAAATCCCAAAGACTATCTGGCTAACTGAGACAAGGAGGTAATTAGAAGCTGGATGGGAGCTGGGAGCTCATGGTTGGCTCATGCCTGCAATCCTAGCCACTCAGGAGGCTGAGATCTGAGAGTCACAATTTGGAACCAGCCAGTTTGAAAAATCTGAGACTCTTATCTCCAATTAACCATCCCAAAGCCGGAAAAAACAGAGGTGTGTGTGGCTCAAGTGGTAGAGCCCAAACAAAATAACCAAGAGATAGCCTGAGTTCAAGCCCCAGTATGGCCGTGCACACGGGAGAGCTCAAATACACACACACACACACACACACACACACACACACACACACACACACAGAACATCAAAGAAAACTTCTTACTCATGTAGCCAGTGTTCCAGTTTCTGGTTTGGGCCATGGGTTTTCAAAGGCTTATAATTAATTAATAAGACATCCATTGAAAAAATGCTTTCTCGTGAACTAATGCTGAGCATGTGTCATAAGCGTGTGAAAGTGGTTGGGTAGGAGCGTTTGCAAGTCTCTAAAATACTGACTCACATGACAAAAACTAAGGATGTTCTAGTTTATGATCTGGACAAGTGTTTCCAAACTGCCTTCTTCCCAGGAGCAAGCAGGAAATGGATTGTCACAAATGGTAAGGGTAGGAACAGAATCAACAGTGGGTTTCTCAAAGTGAGAGGAAGAATTAATGAATGGCAAAACAAAACAATAATAAAAAAGGGGAATTGATATCTGACTAGGTTTGAATATTGAAATTTACATAATCCACTGGAATGTGACTCTTGTTCTTAACTGGCCAGCAAATTCCTTCTAGACTGGCTAAATGTAGACAGCTGGACTCGAGTCTCTTTGTACACGGATGAGTCTCTGTGCCTCAGTTTCTCTTCTGAGATAAGGGAAGACAACAATCTCTCTTTCCTGTGGTTGCTGTAGCTTAGGCAAGTACCAGGAGCTTGTAGCTCACACCTGTAACCCTAGCTATTGAGGCGGAGATCTGATCAGATCAAAGTTTGAAGCTAGCTGGGACAGACAAACCGGGGACTCATCTCAACTTAGCAAAAAGCTGGAAGTGGAGGTGTGGCTCACTTGGTGGAGTGCCAGCCTTGAGGGGGAAAAGCTAATCAAGAGCATTTTGCCCTGAGCTCACACTCCAGTTCTGGCACACAAACAAAAACAAAGAAGTGCGCCTGGCATATCCCTAGAAGTCAGCTCAGTCCTAACCAGCCTGTCAAGACTCCCAAACCAGCAGCTTTCCAGCTGAGTTTCTTATCTAAGATGAGCAGTCAGCAATAGGGACTTGGAAGTTTTGCTGTGCTCACAGGTGTTACATAACCCTCAGGGCTTGGATTTCTTCCTTTGAAAAATCGGATTAATAGTGAAATTCCTCAGGTCTCCTCAGAGGCTTTAGAGATAAGGCCTGTGAGGGGGGCTGCGGCAAAAAGGAGCTCGCTCCCTCCCCCCACCAACTCCCAGCCCCAGGATTTGAAGTAAGCAGTTAGAATGGAAGGGCATTCTTGTAGTCTAAAGTCTTCCCAGCCCCCCAGTCTTTCTCCCACCTTGTATAAGGCCTGTTATCTTTAACCTCTTGCATTTATTTCCCTATCTCTAACCTTCTCACCCACTTTGGCCCTTTCCCAAATGGTCAGCTCTGGATGTTATTACCATCTCAAAGAAGGCATCTTCTAATTCTGAGATCTAAAGACTTTGGGGCCCAGCCCCTTTTGACTCAAGAAAAACTCTGGCCTTCCTTCTCCTATGTAAGCCTATGTAACCGTCCAATTCTGTTCATTTGTAAGGAACGAGAAGAAAGGTGTGTTGTGTGTCTGGGTGAAACAAAACACTCACAACTTAAAAAGATTTGGCTCAATTATTAGATATATTTGCCAGTTATTTTATTTTTTTCTAAAAACAATAGAAAAAAAATCAACTTTAAAAAGGAAAAATGTACTTAAATAAAAAAAATTATGGTTTATAGTACAGGGTTTGAAATCTTGTATACTGCTATAAACGGTTTTATTAAAGTTATTTACATTTAATGGTCTTATTTACACAGGAAAACGGTAAACTTTTAAGATTTTCTTTTAAAAACAATTCTTAAATACAAATCTGTTAAAGGAAAAAAAAAGATGGTAAGCATAAAAAAAAGTTTTTTTTTGTTTTGTTTTTTTTTTATGCCCAAAGTCCCATTTGAGGCAGTTTATATTATGGCTAAACCTTACAGTCTCAAGACCCAGCCAAGGTTGTGAGGTTGCATTTGATCATGCATCTTTGAAACAAGTTCTTTTAAACATAAAGAATCGCTGCAGTTTTTTCCCCCCCTCTGGAAGTAATATCTTTTTCCTTAGTAAGGAGTGAGAATACACACAATTCCAGTCCCTCCCTCCCATCGGTCCAACGTGTTTATGCACAAGAGTTCCGCAGCTGTTCGAGTTTGTGTTTCAACTGTTCTCGTCTCTTCCTCAGTAAGTCCTTTTCTGAAGCAAGCTTCTGTTCCTCTACCTGGATGGACAAGATGTACGTGGTGGCTTTTTTCAGGATAACTACCTTGGGGGCTTTCTCATTATTTTCCAACTCTGGGATCTGATCGCGCAGGGCAAAAAAGCTCCGTTTCAACTCATTTCTCCTCTGGCGTTCTAACACGTTGTGTGTCCGCCTCTTGTCATTCTCTTCTGTGTCTGAGGACCTGGGGCTGGCACATTTCCGGTTGTTGCTGATCTGTTTCAGGACTCTACCACTGTCCAACTTGGCCTTCTTGATCGCAGGGTAGTCCTTCCTGGTGGAGGGGGGTGCAGCATAGTTGTGCTGGTGAGTGGAGACGTGACACCTCTTGAGGACCAGCGGGCTGTGAGGAGGCTTGCTGTGACCCCCAGCAGGGGATGATCCTGACTCTGACCTTTTGGTGGAGGACTGCCTCTTTTCCACAGAGACAACGTCGATTTCTTCCTCATCCTCTGGTTCTTCCTCTTTAAGAAAATAAAATGGAAATCAGTGAACATTTCCTTAAAGCCAGTCAAAGGCCAGATTAAATTGCTGCTATGCAAATAGAAAGTTACTTAAGTCGGTTGGAAAAGGACTTGGATCGAATCCTGCCAACTCTTCCCTGCTTCTCCTCAGGAAGGCGGGAGAAGGGCAGCTGGGTTATGGCACTGGTAAACTGGCAAAGATGCCAGCTCTTACCTAAGACTTAAAGAGGCTTTGGACACACCCAAAGCAAACACATTCCCAAGCACCTCCCATCTTGAAGGGACTTTACCAAAATCCTTCAGGTGCTGTAAAGGAGTGCTATGAATCTGGTATGACTTCAGTAACTCCTTATTTTATTGGAAGGGCAAAAAAAGAAAAGTAATCTTGAGCCTTTGCCAAGAATCCTGAGGGGGGGAAGGGGGGGGAACAGTCCAATTTGGCCAGGATTTGCTTTGAAGCATTCAAAACAGGCTGGAAGGGGTGGAGGTTGGGGGGGGAGGGGGGAAGGCAGTGGCTCTGCCCCTCAACTCTCCAGGCACTTTCACTAGAGCCTGGGCTGGGTCAAAAGCTTTTCTTCAGGGCTGGAGAGGCCCAGCCTCTGAAATTCCTACCTTTTTCCTTTCGGAAGTGAAGGTAAGAGGGAGGTAATTCCATTCACCTATACCTGCAGCTCATCTCTTCCCCTTCCCATCCCCCGCCCCTTAGGGCAATTATAATGCTTTAGAGAGTTAGGAGGGAGTGGACTGAGTTGCCAGGAGAGTAAAGAACCCAAATGGAATTCCTGAGGGGTGGGAAGGACTGAGGGGGGAGCGGGGAGGGGAGACTAACTGCTCAGGGGTCCAAAGATGGAGAGAGCTCCCAAGATGCACCATTTCGCCTTCCAAACTGGAGACCAGAGCAAGGCAGGTCTGGGGACCAAGTGGCCAGCTGGATTTAGGCGCCCATGCGCACAGGAGAAGATGTCCAGGTTACCCTGTCCCTCCCAAGCCCGGTGTCTTGGTGGTGGTGGTGGGGGGTGGGAGGCTCGGCTTACCAGAGTCGCTGCTCGTGGTGGGCGGCGTGTCCTCGGGTAGCATCAGGGGTTCGGGGCTGGCCCGCGGGGAGGACTCGGTGGAGGACAGCAGAGAGTCGGAGGACGAGGAGAAGGCGCTGGAGTCGGGCGAGGCGCAGGGCTTGGGCGAGCTGCCGTCGTTGAGCGGGTAGGGGAAGACGACCGAGGGGTCGATGCACTCGGACGCGGCGGCGCTCAGGTCCTGCAGGTAGAGGCTGGAGGAGCAGCCGCCGCCGCCGCCGCCGCCGCTGCCCGC